TGGTTGGCTGGGGAGGGCAGCGTGTCTCTGGGGTTTATGGTAAAGCAGCAGAGATGATTTCTCACTTGGCTATTTATATATAACAAAAATGGTCACCGAAGTTGACGTGTTCCTGGTGGTTTTACTGGCCTGCGAGAACTCAGTCTTGAAACTGATCCCAAAGTGCTACAAAACCTGAGGCAGAGTCCCAGGGACGGGCAAATGTCTAGAGAAGCAGCAAGGTTGGGTTAAAGGGACAGCATGTCTGTTTGCTTTTCACTTCTAACATGTCACTTTTCTCCTCTCCGCAGGCAATGGGGCTTTGTGTAGAAGAGACTCTAAGCAGGGCATCGAGCCTGTGAAATCCTGGCAGTGGCAGACAACACGTTCTTGAAGGCATCATGTTGGGAACGCTGTTGACAGGCCACAGCATCACCCAGGAGCAGCAGCTCATGTTGTGAACATGCCTCGGTTCTCAAAGTGTGTTCAGTGTGTTTGGATGTTCAGACTCCTCTGCACTGCTGAGTTGCTCTGTTGGAATAATATTGGTAGCAACACTCTCTCCAGGAAGGAGAGCCCTGTCTGCCTTCTGATGCCTAAGGAAGGACTAACACTAATCAGAGGGCTGGAGCAGCTCTGCTCTGCAGACAGGCTGAGCTCTGGCAGAAGCAAGCGGGAGTCTTTTTTGCTGGCCATGGGGAAGTTGTTCCCTGCATGTGATGCTGAGTTCTCTGGGCTGTGGTCACGTCTGTGACAACAACCGGATCTGGCAGAACCCAGAAGCACAAAACACATCCGTTTGTCACAGGGAGACTGCACAGGCACCATGAGATCTGCCGCCCCAGGAGCATGGCACAGGGGCTGCTCTTATGTTTGTGCTCAAGCTTGAACAGGCTTGAGGATCCTTACAAATACAGAGGTTAATGCATGGAGTGCTCCTTGGCAAAGACATCGCAAGGATCCAATGACCAGACTCAGCTGGCTTGGAGAAGTTGTTTATTGATGAAGAAATATAACCAGGATCTGAAAAAAAATACCTAACCAGGTTAGTTTGGAGTAGTTTTCTTCTACCCTGCCTTTGCCGTTGAATTGTCTGTATGTTTTGAAGGCTTAAACACCATTTAATGAAAAACCCAAGATACCTCAGAAAAACAAGACCCCACATGAAGAATGGTGTTTGCCTGAAACTGCCTTTTTCTTCCTTCACACTATTTTGCTTAGAATAGTGGAAACGTTGAACGTGGGTGCAAAACTGGCCTCCAGTTTTCTGCCTGGGAGGATGAGCTGTGGAGGCAACTGTCCTCTCCCCACTAGTTGCAGATGCTGGAGGATATAGATAAGCCACTGCCATTAGACAGTGGTGTTCATTTAACGGTCTCTGCAATTTCCTATCTCAATCCTGTTAATGTATCTGGCTGAGACAATTTGGGCTGTTCAGCCTGGAGAAGAGAAGCTGCGTGGAGACCTCAGAGCAGCTTCCAGTGCCTGAAGGGGACTACAGAGATGCTGGAAAGGGACCTTCATCAGGGACTGGAGTGATAGGACAAGGGGTGATGGGTTCAAACTGAAGCAGGTGAAGTTCAGGTTAGAGCTAAGGCAGAAGCTCTTCCCTGGGAGGGTGCTGAGGCGCTGGCACAGGGTGCCCAGAGAAGCTGTGGCTGCCCCATCCCTGGCAGTGTTCAAGGCCAGATTGGACACAGGGGCTTGGAGCAACCTGCTCTAGAGGAAGGTGTCCCTGCCCATGGCAAGGGGATGGAGCTGGAGGAGCTTTAAGGTCCTTTCCAACACAAACCAGGCTGGGATACTGTGATTCTGTCATCTGGGGTTTCATCCCCTGCAGAGCACAAGATGTGCTGTGCCCTTGGATCAGCCTCCCCTAGCTCTTACAGAAGTCAGTGCTGAGATGGGAGTGGACTTCAGGATCCCTCCTGCTCCCACCACATCCGCTCCTGAGTCTCAGTCTCCAAGAGCTCCTCAGGTGGCTGCACTGCTGGTGGCCATCGAAGCGGTGAGAGCGGATCTCTCTCTTTGCATTCATTCGTTGGGAGCACTGCACAGCACTGCAGGATATGGGATCTGATCATCTCCCTTCCTAGCTGGGTGTGCACCTGTGCCCTCAAAGGGTAAAAGTTGTTGTAAGTGTTGTCAAATAATGAGTCACCCGTGATGAATGTTGGACGGCGGCGGCAGGCACTAGGACCGCTGGGGCGCTGCATCTGCAGCCCTTACCAGAAGAGAAATCAGGAAATAGCGCAGGAGCTCCTTCTGGGAGCATGTCCTTGAAACCAGAGCTTTGGTGCTCCGTATGACAGCAAATTTACACTCCAGGAATTCCAGAGTCCGGCTACACGTGACATCGGTGTCCCCAAAGCCCTGCATGGACGTTGCTGGGAGGTAAGTGTGAGGCTCAGTGAGCAGGGGACATGTTTTCGTGTTTGCTTTGCCCATGGAGAGGGATGGACGTAGTGTGAAGAGCACGGTGGTCAGTGGGGAAAACAGCCAGGTGCCTCCTGCTTGTCAGCAGAAGAGCAGAACTTGCTGTTTGTCCAAGTGACCCTCAGTGTGTCCACGTGTTTGGACGGTCTCCAGTTTGCGTTTCAGAGGTGTGTGCGGAGCACCCAGCGCCAGCCTCAGTGCAGGGGTGCAGCCTGTCCTCTCTTCCATCGCTGTACATTGGGTCCTGGAAGCTCCTCAGTTGGGGTGACTGGAAACCAGCCTCAAGTCTGCAGTTGAGGGCTGGGATGGCTCCACCAAACCCCTCTGTGTTTCTGCACTTCTCATCCTCATTGCAAATGAGGCGCTGGCACAGGGTGCCCAGAGAAGCTGTGGCTGCCCCAGCCCTGGCAGTGTTCAAGGCCAGGTTGGACACAGGGGCTTGGAGCAACCTGCTCTAGTGGAAGGTGTCCCTGCACGTGGCTGGGGTTGGAGCTGGAGGAGCTTTAAGATCCCTTCCAACCCAAACCAAAACTAAATATGCAGGTTAACTGATGTAAAAGAAGTGTAGAACAGCTCCAAAACAAGGAAGGGGGCAAATACCTCCCCCTTCCTCCTCCCCCCAGGCTTTCTTACCACATGTCCTGCTTGTGACAACATTCATTCCAGTGACGGACCAAACATCTCCAAGAACAAGTAGTTGCTTTAGGACAAAGCATGTGAGTGTAGTCAGGAGAAAGGTGATTCACTGCCTTTGCTGCCTGGGTGGAGGCATGGCCAGGCTCCAGGGGCAGTTATCCATGTCGGGGTGCATGTCCGGCACTCTGAGCCCTAGGCTTGGCAGAGAGAAGCTCCCTTGGGAGCTCAGAGTGGAGGATCCATCCCTTCCAAGCACCACACAGGCAGGACTAAGCAAAGAGTTGCTGCTTTTAACCAGATGGTACTGCCCTGGAGCAGCAAGAGGTGAAGTACCACCTACCAGAGCTCCTGTTGTCCTTCCTGGTGCAGCCAGTATATCTCTCCTCCTACCATGTGTACCACAGTGAGGGGTATGGAGCAGACCCTGTCCTGAAGCCCATGAGGTCCTCATCCAGCCTGGAATGCGAGCAGAGATGCATCCAGTCACGTCAGACTTTGACTGTGCTTTGTACCTTGAAGTCCACTAAGATAATACATGTGGCACAGATGCAGGGCAAGAGGATGTCTCTGCTTGCAGTCGATGGCTCCTGGAAGAGATAACACTGCTGCCTGCTAAAATGAACCTTGCCACAGCTGCAGTTGTCCCTTTGTTGTTGTTGTTCTGGAGAGGGACTGGATAAAGCCCTCAGATCCTCACGTCATGGAGACAGGCTGGGGTTTACCACCGGTGATGCAGAGGAGTGACTGTGACTCACCCTCCAAAAGAGAAATAGAGCACAGACAGTCATCGCTGCTCCAAGGAGCCGAGCGAGCCCCTGTGCCTCTCCCAGCCCAGCAGAGCCAGGGAGGCTTCATCCTCCCCTGGGGAGCAGTTTCCAAGAGGCCGCAGTGGGCTTTCACAAGGGGTCCCAGCCCACATTGCCCTGCCTGGGCTCTCATGTTCACTGAGCGCCAAGAAAAGCAGTCCTGGAATGAAACCACCTCTTCCCCTCCTCAGATGTTTCTCTACTCTGAAAGCTGATGCTTCCCTGGCTGGTTTGAGTTCTTGGAAACATAGAGGGGCAGCGAGCTGCCAGGATAGTTTCACACTGTCTAATACTCTGGCACAAAAGAGCAAGGTGGGCACAAAGCAGCTTCACCTACATGGGACGTGGGTCTCATCGAATGGTGTCTTGGGCAAAGATGAAGAGTGTTGAGTTGTGCGCACTGAGAAATCCCTCTCTCCCTGTGCAGAGGGAGAGAGAAATGCCAACTGCAACATGGATCTGGAGGACGGGTGCTGAAATCAGAACAAATTACAGAGCTATAACTTGACTTTTAAGAGTATGGTGGGTTTGGGGATGATGCCATGGTATGAGGCTGCACGGCAGCCCAGGCAGGGCCACTGAGGACACAGGTTTCAATGGGTGGGCTGTCTCCCCTCCAGACCCTGTGCTGCCAAGGATTTGCCCACTGAGCCCCACCATCCACAATTTCGGTTGTTCAAGGAGTCAGTGAATGGAACCCTTTGAGCCTTTTTCTCCATCCTCTGGTGTGGGGCTGCCCTACATGATGGACAAGGCTTGGAAGGAGCTGTGTTGGCCAGAGGAGTGGTGGAGACAGCAGCAGTGGCCTGTGCTGGGCCCGCTCAGCCCCATCCCTCCACAGCCCCCTTTGGTTTCTTCTCTGCAGGTGGCAGCAGGAGAGGACAGAGAGTCCCTGATGTGCTGACGGCCAACCATGTCTGGGGTGAGCAGGGCTGCCACAGGGATGCCAGCACTTCCCCTGCCCACATCAGGGTGACATGTACCCCCAGGACCACAGTGGGGTGGAGGAGGGCTCATGCCCAGTGCCCCTTGTCCCCAGCCAGGGGGACAGAGATGGTCCTTAGGGCTGGCTCTGATGGCTGTGGGAGGTGGAGGGTGTCCAGCTCTCATTGTCACTTGCTGATGCTGCCTTCTCCCTTCCAGAAACACTGGCCCCCTGGGACACAGTGTGTCACCAAGCATGACCACACCAAGCCCAAGCCTCAGGAGCTGGCCTTCCACAAGGGTGACGTGGTCACCATCATTGAGGCCGTGGAGGTGAGCCCAGTGGGTGCCCCACGAACATGGAGGGGATGGAACCCTAGTGCTATCATCATCCTAGTGGGATCCCCTCTTCCTTCCCTTGCTCTGAGACCCTCTCACCCTCAGGGCAAAGGCTGGTACCGCGCCAGACACAACAAGACAGGGCAGGAGGGGCTGATGGTGGCCAGTGCGCTGCGGCAGCGCGGCGCCATCCGTGCCGACCCCAAGCTCAGCCTCATGCCGTGAGTACATCTGAGGGGATCCAGGGGTGGGGATCAGCCAGTCAGAGCCTCCAGGCGTCCGGTGCATTGTCCCCCCAGCCAGGATTTGGGTGGATGGAGCAGCCTGTAGCCATGCCCTGGCAATGGAGAGATTCGTTGGAGCTTTAGAGACCCCAGTTGTGCCCCCCCACCTGGGATGGACCTCACGGGAAGGGGTTTTACGCAATGGCATCTGCATAGATTTGGAGGGGGCTCTGCTCTCCCCGTCTCACTGCCGGTGTGGGGGGAAGCCCATGGACACAGCCAGGCTCCACAATGCTCCTCTCCCCAGCTGGTTCCATGGGAAGATCTCAGGGGTGGAGGCAGTGCAGGAGCTGCAGCCCCCTGAGGACGGGCTGTTCCTGGTGCGTGAGTCTGTCCGGCACCCCGGGGACTATGTGCTGTGCGTGAGCTTTGGCAAGGAGGTGATCCACTACCGCGTGGTGCACGAGGAGAACACGCTCAGCATCGACAGCCAGCAGCACTTCTCCAACCTCATCGACATGATCGAGGTGAGACCCCCTTCGCCACGCAGGGACCCCCACTAGCACCAAACCTCCTGGGGTCACGTGGAGCAGTGGCAGGTCCCTGTCCTTTTCTCCTGTGGTTTTCCTTTGGTTTCATTACCTGGTGGTTACCTTCGTTATCCATCCCTGCCAAAGGCTTGTGGTTCCCAGTGAGTTTGGGGTGGAATGGACACATCTGGGATATCCCAGGGACATCCTCTGCTGCAAACCAGCTGTGCTGGCAGCAGCCCCACTCCCCTACCTAGGACCATGGTTCCACCCATCCCTGCTCAATTCAGTGCTTCACTCAGCAGCAGGGCTTAGGGCATTTTGGAAAACAAAGATCCTGGCAGCCTCTGGACAGGGTCTGAGCCCCAGCGAGGTGTTTCACCACATCTCTGTCCCCTCCAAGGCCCCTCTCTCCTGCTGTCCCCATGGGGCTCAGGCTGCGGCGCTGGCTCTCTCCCTTCCAGCAAGCTCTTCCTCGAGGTCCATCTTCGCCCTGTCTCATAGCTGCTGCCCATCTCCTCACCACAGCTTTGCACTCTCATATGCTCTCCTCATTTAGACACAACTTCTGCTTTCGGGTGGGTCCTTCCCCCTTTCAGCTCCTCTGGCCCCACTCTGTAACCACGACTGCCATTGCTTCCGCTCCTCATCGCCTCTGCAAGCCACCCTCCATTGCCAGGCCTGCAGTCCATCGGCTGCTGTCTGGCTTACCGGCAGCATCCTGGAGCACCCTGAGTCCATCATGGTGTTCCCTTGGCTGTGTCCGGTGGGAGCAGGGCTGGGACGTGGGCTGCAAATCGCAGTGTTGGGGGAAACATGGCCCCTGGTGGGTGGCAATGATGGTGGGGACCCATGAAGCATCCCCCAGCTCCACACCCCAAGCTTGGAGTAAGAGATGGCATCACTGCATCGCCTCCATCTGTCCACCCCTCGGCAGCACTACATGAAGGAGCAGGGAGCCATCTGCACCAAGCTGGTGAAGCCCAAGCCAAAAAGCGGGATGAAGTCAGCTGAGGAGGAGTTGGCCAAAGGTAGGGGATGATGGCAGAGGGTCGTGGGCCAGGTTTTGGGGACAAAGCAGCATGGTGGCCCCTGCTTAACCTGCCCTTGTGCCCATGCCCAGCCGGCTGGTTGCTGAACCTGCAGCACCTCACGCTGGGAGACCGCATTGGGCACGGCGAGTTTGGAGGTAGGTGAGATGGTGGGGTTGGAGGTTCCCTGACCCCAGGCTTCCCCAAATGGCACCCTCTGATGTCCTCATCCCCTCCCCATGGCACAGGGGGACTCAGCCTGGGATGAGGGGTGTTGGATGTCGGGCTGAGCCTGACCCCCCACATCCCCTCCCAGACGTGCTGCAGGGCGAGTATATGGGGCAGAAGGTAGCTGTGAAGAACATCAAGTGCGATGTGACTGCCCAGGCCTTCCTCACTGAAACAGCTGCCATGACGTGAGTCCCCCCGGGGGCATACAGCCTACCCCTGCCTCATGTCCCAGGGGCGAGCAGGCACCCCCTTGATCCCCTCCATTGCAGGAAGGTCCGGCACAAAAACCTGGTGTGTTTGCTCGGTGTCATCCTGCACAACGGCCTCTACATCGTGATGGAGTTCATGAGCAAGGTGGGAGCACCCGGCTGGTCCGCAGCCAGCAGGACCTGTTGCCACTCAGATCTGGGGACAAAATCCACGTTTAGGGGCTGAGCTGGCTGGATGCTGGGCACTGCAGAGGCAAAGCCTCCCGGCAGCCCCATCATGTTGGTCCTGACATGTTTCTCCTCCTCCATCAGGGCAACCTGGTGAACTTCTTGCGCACACGGGGCCGGGCGCTTGTCCCAACCCAGCAGCTCCTCCTCTTCGCTCTGTAAGTCCATGTCCCTCCCTTCGGGCTGGGAATTGGTGCTCTGCATCCCCCAGGCATCCCCAGGGGACAGGTGATGACACTGTGCTCTGCCTCCCTTGGCCACCACAGGGACGTGGCTCAGGGCATGGATTACCTGGAGTCCAAGAAGCTGGTGCACAGGGACCTGGCTGCTCGCAACATCCTCATCTCTGAGGAGAACGTGGCCAAAGTGAGCGATTTCGGCTTGGCCAGGGTCAATCCTAAGGGTGCAGACGCCACTTTGCTGCCCGTCAAGTGGACAGCCCCAGAGGCCCTGAAACACAACGTGAGTGATGGTGGGAAGGGGTGAGGGGCACAGGGGGGATCTTGCAAAGCAGCTCTGGGGTCCGTCTGCTCATCCTAGTCCTGCAGTGCCCACGTTCAGCCGTGCACCTCCCAAAATTTGGGCTCTGTCCTGACCAGCCCTTACCCTGGTGCAGAGCAGGAATTGGGGCAGCTCCAGAGGGATGCAGTAGGATCACCCCTGAGGCTGTGCAGGTGATGGGAAGGGGGAGCTGGGGGTGGCAGGGGACAGCCTCTGGCTCCTGTTTTGCCCTCAGGGAGGTTGGCTTCAGCCTCCCCTCCTCCTGCTGCTGCAGAAATTCTCCTCCAAGTCAGACGTGTGGAGCTATGGAATCCTCCTGTGGGAAACCTTCTCTTTCGGACGCGCGCCCTACCCCAAGCTGGTGAGTGCTGTGCTGGGGGAGGCTGCAGGTCAATGGGATGGGGACATCCCAGTGTCCCCTCTCTGGGGCAAGCCCCTGGTGGGGCAGGGGCAGGGAAAGGGAGTCTCAGCTGGCTTCTCCATCCTGCCAGAGCCTGAAGGAGGTGACGGAGCTGCTGGAGCAGGGGTACCGCATGGAGCCCCCTGAGGGCTGCCCACCTGCAGTCTATGCCCTGATGAAGAGCTGCTGGGCGCTGGAGCCAGGCAAGAGGCCGTCCTTCAAGAAGCTCACTGAGAAGCTGCAGAAGGAGCTGAAGCACCTGAGGGATGTTTAGCCCCTGTCCCCTCCCAGGACACATGGCCAGAAGCCCCCTGGACCCACCAGGGCATCACAGCAATGGGTGGCCGGGCATTGCGGGGAGCTGTGGCACCACTCACAAGGTGGAGATGGGGCAGCAGCTGAAGGGGAACCTCTTCTACCCCAGGGCACCCAAAGAGGAGGCAACAGCCTCCTCCATCCTGGCACGGGTCCTTCCTCCCACCACACAGCCCAGAGGAGGTTCCCATGGGGTACATCCTATGGGGTGTGGGGTCCCTTCAAGCTGCTCATCCCAGTGACAGGGACAGGACGGAACATCTCCGCTCGCTGGGGGATGGAACCTGAACCCTGAGGCAGCCCCACTCCAGCCACTGCCCCCAGCAGCTAAACCACACGGACTTGGGCTTTTTTGATTAAGCCAAATAAATTAATTCAACAGCAGCTTTCAGCCCCTGGGCTCAAATTAGGCCAGACCCTCTCTTGGGGCCTGGCAAGGGCTTGGGGGGAGCCAGGGATATTCTTTCTGTCAGAACCTGTGTGGGAATTGCTCATGTACAGATGACAGGAGCAGGGCACTGGCACTGGGAAGCCCCCAGCTCCACCAGCTCCCAAAGAACCTTGACATCTCGGTGGAGCCAGGATTAGTGGGGCCACATGCGTGAGCTTCATCTTCCTCTTCCCTTCCTTCCACCCCTTTGACTATTGATTGGGCTTTTTTGGTTAATCCTCCTGTATCTCCTCTGCACCAACTCCTTGCACCAGCGAGGAGGAAGAGGAGGAGGAAGGAGGCTCTGGGGTGCTGCCCTGCATTGGGGCCCATGTGATGGGAGGTCTCCTGGCTGGATCCAGGGTGTGCCAGGGCTCAGTGGCCTCTTCCACCTCCTCATCACCCTTCTGGGGCAGCATCCCAGCATGCCCCCCAAGCACCCTTGGGTGCAGCGAGCAGCACCTGAAGATCTTTCCACACCAGTGCCTGTGGCTTCCCCTCCTAATGCCTTAATCCGCCCCTGATCCGCGGTGCCCCTGGGGCTGGTCCTGCTGACCTTGCGGGTGCTGGCCCCGGGCTGGGACCAGTGGCACCGTGGGGCACGGGCTGCCACAGCCACCGCTCATGGCCTCCTTCTTCACGGCTGCCCTGAAGAGCTTCAAGGGGGGCGAGGAGGAGCCACCCAAGGGGCCCCCCAAGGATGCCAAGGAGGCCACGCTGCCCAACGGCATGTCCCACGAGGAGTTTGAGGAGTACCAGCGGCAGCTGCTGGAGGAGAAGTAAGGCTTTGGTGGGGCTGGGGGGTCAAGGGAGTCCTCCATGCACAGGGACGAGGCTCCCATCTGCCACCATGGGCTGTCTCCAGGCGGCACAGGGACAGGGAGACAGCCGGGGCAAGGGACAGACGCAGAGCACAGGGGGTCCCTGTGGGTGCTGGCATGGGGCTGGGTCAGGGCTTTGGTGCACTCTAGGTGACAAGGGTCACCCATGGGTGCCAGTGCCTCGACGTGGTGGGTGTCTGGTGCCAGCCCAGCACTGGTGGAGCTGGGGGACAAGAGGGACCATCATGGGATTGCGTTAAGGTCCCATCACCTTGAGTCCGGGTGCTGTGAGGACCCTGTGGCACGGCATCCAGAAGCTGAGCATGTCCCTCCAATGGGCACCTTCACTGAGCATCTCTGCTGGGGCTGGAGGGGCAGGATGTGGCCTTTGCCCTCCATACCCCATTACAACACTCTTGTGGACCTTGGCATCTCCCTCTCCATCCACCCCAATGCAGAAGGAGAAACTTAAAGATGAAAGCTTAAAGATAAAATGTTGCAAGGGTTGAAAATGCTTGTTCTTGCTGCTGGAGGCTCAGGGCCATGCTGGGGAGGGTGGTTTTGGTGGCAGGGGGA